CTTTTTCTTTTTCTTTCCCCTGCAGTTTCATCATCTACATTTGTGAAAACTGAAGGCAAATTTTACTGCTGTGCTTGAGAAGAACATAGCAGTTTGACTTCCTCAAACCACACTGGCAGTTTTTGCACGTGCCGTGGGATTGGTATCCAAAAGAAGACTGCAGAGCAATTCCACTGGCACAGCTAGTCTCTCATAGAGARTATGAGAGGTTGTGGCCAAATAGCAGGCTGCTCCAAAGCAGTGTTATGGTATAAACTGCCTGGGAAGGAAAGTGCTGGGCATGTGAGTGTTGGGAGCAGGAGTCATGACTGCAATGGCAGGAATCTGGGAAAGGCCCTCTTGAAATTGTGGGAGAGGTGAATGAAGTTGTGCTCAATGTACAAAGCTGAAGGGCAGGCCAGCCCAGCCCGCAGATGTTGTGGGTTGAAATCACATGGTAGCCGGCAAAGGGGGATTAGGCGGTTGATAGAGGGGCCTCCGAGAGCCTCACTAATGCACTGGCTAAGCTGCAAGTCACGAGGAACCCACTCCCCCACTGGCAGCAGCTTTAGTCCTGCTGAACTACTGTGAAAGCCACGGATCACACGACGGCTGCAATTCCAGGTCACCAGGGCCTGCTTTCAACGAGCYGGGGCTCGCTGAGAAATCTGGAGTGACGTCCTGGGGCTGGCTTCACACGGGGCACTCACAGCCCCTAGTGAGATGTATGTGCATCCCCAGAGACCTGCTGCGCGCTGGCGCCGCGGGGGCCTGCACGCTTTGGGATTTATGCGTGGGCAATCAAAGGTTTGTTCTTGCCTGCTTTGTCTGCTAAAACCTCAAAAAAAAAAAAAAAAAATTAGCTGATGCTCCAAGCAGGACAACAGAGTGCCCCAGCCACAAATAAAGGCAGTGTCCTAGCAAGTCCCCAAGTCCCCAACCACATGGCAGAGACTGGGACTGCAGGCCAAGCCCTCATGTCCTTCTCTGGCCAGCACAGGGCTTACTGGAATGAGAGTGGTCACCGCTCATGGCAAAGTTGGGGGGACTGCTGCTTCTGCTGGGGCTTTAATCGCTGCTTGCTGTGCATTTATGGGCACATTATGTCCCTGCTCGGCAAGGGCGCTGCTGAAATACAAAGGAGCTCAGATGCAAGGGCAGCAGAAGCCTTGCTCTCCACCAGCTCCAGTCATGTGCGTGGTTTGTATTAATTAGGAATGTGATTAGCTGTTTGCAGGCAGCTCCAGTGCTGGGAAATCCCAAAGAGATTTGCCCCAGTTTTGCTATCCCTGGAGGGGAGGGTTTTTTGGGATGCTGCATTGCCTTATTCAGTGGTTGCAATAAATGAAAGCGCTGTCCAAGGGTATCTGCGCCRGCAGGGCCCATCAGAAGCATCATGTTGGGAGACACGGATCATGGTTGTCCCGGGCTGGCATGGCACTGGTTGCAGCACCATTAGACAGTCCCACAGCCCTATGGCTCATGTGGCCACAAGTTGAGCTATCCCGCTGGCTGCAGCTGCGACCGGAGCCAAGTCTGGGTGGCAGAGCATATGGCAGGCCAGGGCACAGTGATGCAGCAGGTTCTGGGTGTCTGGGCTTGTAGCTGTGCCCAGGCTCCCATAGCGAGCAGGAGGTGGCCACAGAGCACCAGACTAGTAGTTCATGCTTTCTGGGGCAGGATGGGGAATATATCTGGCTTACACTTATCAYGAGCTCACATGATGTTTAATATAGCTCCATAAACTGAAGAGAGTGTATTCCTGGTGGGATCCTTGGGAGAGAACCTCTTCCMTGGGAAGAGTGCACTCTTAGCCTTCAGCAGCTGGCAGAGCTGCAGCATGGGTGGGAGCATGGACTCAGTCCCTGCATAGTAGATGCCAGGTGATGGGCAACGCTCACAGAGTGGGAATGTGCAGCACTCGGTTGGTTCAGCTCCAAGCAGCTCTACAGAGTGTCCGATTGCTGCTTGACCATTGCCCTGCCTGCCACTCTCCCTTCTTCCCACCTACCAGTGTTGGGGTCATGAGACAGCAGCTTTTCGTCAGCTGGAGGGTCACTCCATAGACATCCACACTTCTTTCAGCTTTCAGTTGGTGCAACAGGCAGTCCAGAGCAATCAGTGTCCCCATCTGGCTCACATCGCTGCTGCAAGGACTGGGGAGAGACGTAAGTCAGGTCAGGCTCAACTCAGTCTCTTTGGCAACAGACATTAGGCCTGGCATCATGAGATGCCCTACGAAAACATGCAACAACTGTATCCAGTGGAGATAAGAGTGTGTAAGCACTGATGTAGACTACTGGATTTCCTGGAGAAATCAGGAGAATCCCAAAGTTGAAGGATTCTGGACACCCAACCTGCGCTGCCCTGCTGAGCTGTGCATGCCTTGCTGGAGCCAGYCCCACCATGCGGGGTATAGTGTGCCAGTTATGTTGGCTCCTGAGGGATCATGAGCTCTCTTTGGTAACAAGCAGATGAGGATGTCAGGGCTGCTCCCAGGACCTCAACAGAATTCCTCAGCCAGGAATTCCGGGTTATCCCCACCCCCGACCCAGCTCAATTTGATTTCCCTTCTCCCACAGGGCTGCACTGCTTCTGGAGACTTCCAGACCTTCCCTGTTGCCCACAGACCTTCTCTTAACATGTCCTACAGCCTTGAAGTCTTTGAGTACTGGTTTGCTGGAGGTCATGACAGGATGATGTGCAGCCTGGTGAAAACTCGCTCCTGGAGACAGAAACCTGCTCCAGCGTACCTGCAGTGCAGGATGAGAGGACTGGCTCTCCTCCGGTGGGGTATGCACCGTCTGACAGCAGTGAGGAACTCCACCAGTCTTTGGATGTCTGGCTGTTTCTTGCTGTTCCAGAGTGTATACAGGAACCATTGCACTTGCTTCTCCTTTGCTTTCTTCTCCTGGTAAGACATAAAGAGTTGGCTTGACTGTTTGGGAGGGGAGAGCTTGGATGCAGAAAGCTTCCAGATCTGCAACCCTTGGGGTGCCAGATGCCTCCTGTGGCCTGAAGTGCTAGGTTCTATAATGTTGTCAATTCTCTGCTGTTGCATTGTCCACCATCTGGCCAGTGGGGCTGGTGCATCTAGGAACCTATTATCCTTCCCTCTTGGCATCCTACCTTTCTGCTTGAGAGAGAGAGACTGAGAAGGTCTTTGCAAAGTGGTCAGAAAGACCTATTGGCCAGGTGGGCAATAGAAGCCTCCAAGGTTTCTCCTGTGCCTCTCCTTCATCTCCTCTACAGATGCTCTTCTGAATATTGCAATCCTAAATTCCCTCCTGTATTCATAGGCTACTRGTACTTTTCTTAGCAGTGTAGTCTGGGCTTTATAGACCCTTGAGTCCTTGCCCCTCTAGACTTGTTTGTCTGCAATGCAGATCACCCCAGGCAGCGGGAGACAGACTACCACCATGAACACGTACGTGTTTCATTTTGAGCTGGATACACCTCCATCCCGAGACAGGTTTCTCTGCACCACACTGGATCGTCAGCATCTTTGTGCGAAGAGAGTCTCCTTCCAGGGGCCAGCATGCCTCACTCGGGACCTGTGCATAACAGCAAGTTGGGCTTCATGTTGATAATGACCATATCTCAGATCAGTCACCATCTTAAGGTGTGCAATAGGGCTGGACTGAGGCCACCTCTCATATCACTGCATGTCAGTTCTACCCCTGGCTGCATCCTAGGGAAGTTATGCAAACACCAGATGATTGCAGTCAACTTTCCCATTAGCAGATTGCTCCTTGGCAGTGGGACTCTGTTTAGTATGATCTCTCCACCTCCTTCATTCTGTCCCTCCACAGTCGGAAAGAAGCAGGAGCTGCCATCCTTAGGGTACTGTTGAGATACAGCTTGAATAATCATGTTGGAGAGGCAGCTGAGTCCAAATACCCAGCCCATGGACTGAACAGTGGCCAAGCACAGAACCTATATCTCATGTGACATGCTGCAAGAGCATTTTGACATGCAAAAGTTTCAGTTTTAGCTGAGCTAGTTCCATATTGAAACTTCAGGGCTTAATAAACAGATTTTGTTTTGGAGCATAATTAGATTCTGACTCTGTAAAACAGATTTTACACAATGTGCAGGTGGACAAAATACCTTACCTCCCCCTTTTCATGCCAGGGGAGAAGTGTTAGGATCATGTGGACATCCTGTTCCCACACCAGGGTCCAGAACTCTTCCATGGTCACCTTGTCAGGGCCCTGGATAGCCAAATAATCCCTGCTGGAACTGCAGCCCTGCATGGGGAATGAGAAAGTCACTCTCCAGCTGGAAAGGGAGACAGAGGAATCCAAACATCCTGAGTGACTGAAGGAGGGAAGTCAGGACGAGATGGGAAATTCAACACATCAGGAGGCAAAGAGAGAGGAGAAAGCATTATGGAAGAGAAGTGGGCAGCTGTCAGACCGGGGAAAGGAAAAAGACATATCCTCATTTCCCAGAGGTGATGCTGTTGTCTACAAGAGCTCCATGTATGACATGTGACAAAGCCACAGTGACCAGTGGAGCTGGTAGAACAGGAACCAGGGAACAGAGAGCAAGAACTGGACGCCACTTGCCACCCACAGAAAAATGAAGTGACAGGGCCCAGGTGTTGAAGTGGGCATGGCAGCTTTGTGAGAGGACAGACAACTCACCGGAATATGCCACACGTGAAGGAGACCTGAAGAAGTGCCCTGTTCCAGCAGGGAAAACTTGACTCTGGAGCGATCATCTGTAAAATACGTGAGATGTGAAGAGAGTCAGGGCAGCTTTGAACTAATACTGCTCTTGCAAATTGATCAGCAGACTGCCAAAGCTGCACATATCCATCAACCACCTTCTCATCTCTCAATTTCTCTGAAAAGTATTACCTCTCTGCTGTGCTCCTATTTGACTTATGGACATTTATCACCTAGAGAAAAGCCCAAGAGCTTCTCCTAGAGATGCTGGAGGCAAACTCTTACCTGTTCATGTAAAGCTCTATAGATCTCTGTGTCACTCTCCTGCTTAAAGCAATTCCAATTACAGCAAGTTGCCCRGTGTCTTGTCTACCTTAGTACTGCACATCCTGAAGGAGGAAGATTCCATAACCTAGACCAGTGCTGATCACTCTCTTGGGATTTTTTTTTTCTGTCCATAAAATAGAAATTTTCCATGTGTTCCAAATTGTCCCCGTTGTCTCTTGCCCTTCTAGGGCTTACCTCCAAGAAGAGCCTGTCTCCATCTTCTCTACTCCTAACAGGTAGACAGCAAGAAGYTCTGCCTTCTGCCTACTTTTCTGCAGGCTAAAGAAATCTACCTCTCTAAACATCTCATTATAACTCTAGTGTTCCAGCCCCTAACCACCGTGATAACCTTTTGGTGGACTCATGCCAGCGTGTCACTGTACTCTTTTGTACCGCAGAGCTCTGGTCCAGCCTGGTCCACACAGATAAAGGAGGAAAGAGGCTGCGAGGTGTTAGCCGCACTTACATGGGAGGATGCTGGAAGAGGTCCGTGCCTGCTGGCTGCCTGAAGATGGAGTTGCAGAGCTGGCTTCTTCCTTGACTACCTCTAGGAGGGTCTACCGCAATGAGAGAGGGTGAAGAAAGCAGTGAGCGGAGATGGGTCAGGAGGAGCAGGAGGGTCTGTGTGCTCCTTAGGACACCTCAGCATCGGGGTGGATACACTGGTTAGGTAAGCCCMTAGCCAAGCTAGAGTGGTTTGCTGGGGCTGGCTTGCATTGCCAGGAGACATCGGCATTTCTTTGCCAAAATCCTGTGGGGGAATGGTGCTCACATAGGTCTCTACCCTGAATGGGATCTGGGAGCGCCTGCTCTGTGCAGGATGTGTTAGGGAAGGAAGGGAGCATGGACAGAGCAGCTGTGTTGGTGGAAAGCAAGGCACGGGTCCCACTCAGGGGTGTTTTTTGAGTGTACCCCGGCCAGGACAAGTGATAACTTTCCCCACTCCCCACTCCGTGTGGCTACGGTGGCATTTCCTGCTCAGGACACGTCTCACCTCATATTCCTTCAGGAAGCCCATATTGGACTTGGATGCTTTCTGGGCACAGTGCTGTGCAAAGCTTTTGACTGGGATGGGGCAGGACCTGGGGAAAGAAACTGCATTAAAGATGAGGTTGAGAGAAGCCAGCAGCATCCATCCATCCAGTAGCTAAACAAGACTGAGAATAYAGGGAATAATCAGTCCCAGGGTAACCCCCACAAAACACAGGGTGGGATGGTGGTTTGAACTGCCCGGTCCTCCCGTCCTAGAACCAAGACCCCAATGGACATTGGAATCTCAATTTGCTGTCTGAAGGAGCTGTAGATCAGGGTGGGTAGAGCAGAGGCAAAATGCTGAAGGCCCTTACGTCTCTGTTCCTGATAGGCCCAGGAGAGGCTCCTCCAAGATCTTGTCCAGGATACAGCTGTGCAGGAAAATATACTGGGACTGGAAGGCAAAGGCAGACAACAGTGTAAAGCAGGCCTGCACCACAGAAGTGGCATGAACAGATGGGGATGGCATTTCGTAGTAGGCAGAACATATCCCACATTTGTGCTCCAAAGCCCCTGGCCAGTCAGTTTCTGCACCCCTGAATCCCTTTCCATCTTATTTGTCTCTTATTTGTCAGGAAGGATAGTACTGACACCGTACCATGCTGAGGACYGCAAATATCAGCTGGGTTTTAGAGCATCTAAGGCCAATAGTGTGGGTCAAAAATTATTTGTGAAGGGCCTAACCCTGTTGCTAGGTGCTCTTAGTTGTTTCTGGTCAAAGATCACTCTTCTGAGACTGGTAGGAGGACTCTGAAAATGCATATTGTTGTTGTGGATCTGGCAAGGACACGAAACTGTTGGAGACTCCCATGRAAGAAGAGCAATTTCCACCCTAGCTGGTTGGAGGATATGAATGCTCTGAACAGCAAGATAAAACACCATCAGGTGTCATCAGGTATCAGTCTGGGGATGCTGGAGCTAGCTGATGCCAGGAAGTGAAAGACTTTGGGGAAAAGAAAGTAGATGGCTTACCAGGGTTTGAATCATCTGGTAACGGTTCATCCGCAAGGTGTAGACGACCCCAAACGTGTCCACTATTTTCTCCTGCTTCATCTGCTGTAGCAGACGGTCCAGAGCAATGAAAGTGCCAGTGCGGCCCACTCCAGTACTGAGATARCACAGACAGCAAGAAATAAACTTCACTGGATTGTGTCACTTATRGGTTCCCTTTCAGCTTCTAGGAATGGCTTCCGGATACTGTATCCCAAGACTCTTGCCCCTGTGTGACTCTGGGGCTGAGGAACAATTCAAATTGTCTGGAGAGGGTGCTGAACATCCTCACACTTCTCAATCCTCTAGGACGGAAGGCAGGTTACAAGCTCCTCTGTAATCTCCATCAACCAAGCAGGGAAACTTTTCAGACCAGCTCCCTGGTCAGATCAGAGCCTGAATGCTGCTCTCCCTCCTAATGATYCTTACCCTTGCAGAGGTTCTGGGAGGGATGGGGCCATGGGCTCATGCAGGAGCAGGAATCTTCCCTGCTCTCTCCCATCTTCCCTGCCTGCCTTCCACACCCGTCCTCTCCCCACAGAGCCTCACCTGCAGTGCACAAGAGTTGGCCCGGCATCCTTGGCGCTCTGAATGTGCTCTCGGACTATCTCCCTGAAGGCCATAATAGAAGTCGTAGACTCTGGGATCCCATGGTCAGGCCATGCCGTGTAGTGCAGGTGGGACACATGCCGCGCTGTCTGGAGGCATTGCTGTTGGAGGGGATGTTGATCATTAGTGTGCAGCCTGGAGGGACAGCCTTACATGCAATGTGCAGTTCTGGGAGAGCTGGATTCTGGGACATACATTTGGTAGGGTCTGGCTAACAGCATTTGGACATGTCCACACTGGAGCTGCCGAGAGGCCACGAAAACAACTCATTGCCTCTCCTCATCCAACCTGTGGTTGCAAATGTGGGAAAAACTCATCATCCCTTGGCTGGTTTTGTCTCTTTGCACAGAGCAGGTGCCAGAACTCTGTGCACATGGGAAAGATGTTGGAAAGATCTTGAGAAAGATGCTGAATCTACTGCACTGTTCCATGGCTCCTACTGATCTGGCCTCTCTCCACAGCTCCCTGGCATGACGAGCTGTGCGGATTGGCAGGGAGGAGACTTGCCTTTACCTACTTTGGGAATGTGCCCTCTTGAAAGCTGTTTAGCATGAGAAGGCAAAGCTCTCTGAAGCTCATGTTGCATTGCAAGGATGGCGGGCCAGGAGGAAAGAAGGGATGATGCACATTGCACACCTTTGTACCACCAAACTATGAGAAGAGACAATCTGTTTCTCTGGTACTAGGCATTGAACCCTGCTAGTGGAAGACAGAGCTTTCCAGATGTCTACCAACAAGGAGAAATACCACTGTATTCAGTAGAGAGTTTTCTCCTTAGCAAACCCRCAGACTTTGATGGGGCATTGAATCTGTCTTCTTGAGCTCATACTCACGTGCCACAGTTTGAACTCGCGCATGGTCCACTCTTCTGAGCTGTTCTGCTTCAGCAGGTGGACTTCGACCTGCCCATAGGATACTGGGGCTGACTCTGATGGCCAGTAATGATCACAGAGGACCTAGAGTACAGGAAGGTCATGGTCACAACAAGGCCAGTGTAGGGAAGAATAACCCACAAGTGGGTCATGTCACAGCTCTCTAGGAGCATCTAGAGACCCCTTTGCAGGGGAGGCCAGGGCAACAGGGGCAGAACAGGGGAAACAAGCAAGGGTGTTCTATTTTGCACCAGGAATTTGACAAAGTTTTCCTCCTCCACTCCTTGTTTTGGATCCCAGAGTCCCCTCCAGAAAATGGTCCTGTGCAGATCTCATTAACCATGTCTTGGCTGTGGTTAAAATGCAATGCAGACTTACTCGCCCATTCTCCATGCACACTGTCAACATGACGATGTTGCGGACGTTCTGCTCCCATACCAGTCTCCAGAAGTCCTCTATTGTTTTCTTCAGGGGGCCTTGGGTGGCAATGAACTCCTGCTGCGATGTATAGCCCTAAACAAGAACCAGACAGAGATTTGGCAAGTTCCCAAGCAGGTGGGTCCTTCCCTGGGACACTCAGTTCCTGGTGTGCCTTTATGGTAGGKGGGGAGATGCTCATTTTGCTCATCCCAGTTACCTCAGCAGCTGATCAGAGAGGTGCCACCACACAGGAAGCATGTGCTCCCCAACACATGCTMACTATGTATTTGGAATGAAAGATGTTCTCTCTCTCCCCGCTGCTCTCAACACTTTCCTCCTAGGATTCCTATTTCATCTTCAAACAAGGAAAGATAGAACAGGGTCTTGTGCTCCCCACGCATTACCTGAGGTAAGGTGAGCATGCAAGGTCTCAGGACTGCTCTTGGCCTTTGTCCCTTCAACACACACATGCACTGCAAATGCACAGACCCAYGCATGCTGTGTGCCCCTGGCTGTTACCTGGAAAATCCCCCCGGACAGGGGACATGGGCACTGGTCCAGGGTTGTTCAAATGCAGCTGTATAGGTCACAGGGAGAAAGAACAGACAGACAGATGAGGCAGTAAGCTGGGAGAGACTGGAAAGAGGATAGTTCTCAAGGAGAAAGCACTGCCAGTCTCCTCACACTCACACCTATGCATTCACAGCGATTACTCATCATCTCTCTTCGTCTTCATTAGCCCCAGCTATCAGACCACTCTTCATCTCTGCCCAGCTCCCAAGACCTAGCCACAGTCTGTGTCAGCTGCTGTTCCAGTGGTAGYTCTTGACCACTATCCCTCATGACCTGCATCCAGGCAAAGCTTCTGTGCTGCTGCTCTGTGGCCCTGTGCTGTCTCTGTACCTGGCAAGTGGGCACTCACGGGCATGAAGTTGGCATTAATGTAGTCTGAATGCGGATCCTCCCCCAGTTGGCTCAGCTTGACTCGCGAGTGGTCATCTGAAAGAGACCAAACAAATATGATGTCCCAAAGCAGCTCTTCATCAAGACATGGTCTATTCCTTCACAGGGATAGCATGTTTGGACAAGTTCCAGTAGCTCCTCTAGCTCTGTATCACGTAGACAGCCATGACGCTCCGTGTTCCAGCCAGACACTCTGCTCCCTGGATCATGATTATATCCTGCCTGGAATAGCAGAAGGACAAGAAAGAAGAGCTGTTAGCATGAACTTCTGTGAAGTGAAGATGGCTGAGAGCAGCTCCTCCTTGGTCTGGCATCTGGCACCATGGGATATTCATGGTTCCCACTTTATTTGTAGCTCTCCGAGGACCCTCTCCGAGCAGGGCTCACCCCACAGCTGCTCAGCAGCTGCATGGAGGAGCTGAGGAGGGTGGTAGTTCACCTTTTAAGCCTTGAGTATCCAWCAGGAAAAAGGAAACGGAAGAGCCATAAAAAACTCCTTCTGGGAGAGAAGCAGGAGAGGATCCAGGCACTGAGAAGCCTGCAGTGCTGCAAGGTAAACCCTTCCCTGTCCATTACAACATGAACTCCCATCACTGGGCTTTGGGGAGGAGGATGGAGAAGACAGCACTTACAGGGCAGCACATGGGGATATCTGTTCTTGGAGACATTGGTAGACAGCTCAGCCTCCACCTTTGATTGCTCCTTCCCAACTTCCTTCAGCTCCTGCAGRACAAGGGAGAAGCTGAGCACCTGAGGTGTCTATACAGATCGTTCCTGGCCAAGCCAGCTTCATGCCCACCGCCAACAGCTCTGTCAACATAGCCTATGTACTGMGAACCACTGGTGGATTTTCCTCATGACTTTTCCAACAGCATTGTTCAGAAATAAGCAACAGTAACAAGAATTATTGATGAAAACAAATCCCAGGAGTCTGAAATCTATGATAAAATCCAAACATTTTGTTCTGAGAAGAAGAAAATAGCCTGTGATGTTTCTGCCTCTGTCACTGGTGGGGCTTTCAAATGGCTGTAGAGCAAATCAGACTCTTCAGTTGTTTGCAGTGAAATTGCTATGGGAAATAGTAAAGCTAGTCTGAGATGAACTTGACAGCTTGATYCAACAATTCTGAGGGTGCCCCTTCTTTTTGGGTGCAGGCTCTTTTCCAGCACTGCTAAGGTGGATCTCATTGCAAATCACTCAGTGTCTTTGCCTCCTGTCCAGATCTGGAACTCCCGGTTTTGTCCATCATCAGCTGTCAATTATGCTAGAATTTCACCTTCCATCACACAAAACATACTTCWACTAGAAATTGGACAAATCAGTTCTTCAGCATGGGAAGTACCTGCTCATTTGGTCCATCCTGCCTCTGGTCTCTAAGACTGTCTAGCAGTGTGCTTTGAAGAGCGGTGAGTTACTGGCCCTGGAGATGTGGAGTCTCTACAGGCCAATCCACAGCTGAGGTATCAAAACCCCATTTGATCCAGTCTGGATTTAAAGAARTGCTCTGGGAGGGGAAATTAAATCTTATCCATAGCAGGACCGTTCTCTTACCTCAAATTCCTGGAAGAAAGCATGATTGCCACTTGCTGTCTTCATCTCGTAGTACTGCTTGAAGTTTTGTGTGGGGATCGGCCGGTGGACGTTTCTGCATGGAATCCAAAGGAAAACATGCCTTAGTTATTGAGAGGTATARCAGGCCAGCCACATGCCCAGCCTTGAGGCTTGCAGAACATGCACAAGAAAGGCTTATATCCTTCGTCATTGTACAGGGAAGTGGCTCCAGCAGAGCACTGCTTCTCTCAGTGCTGAGAGGGAATTCAGCATGATGAACATATCCTACCACTGCAGAAACCTTTGCAGAGGTGTGGACAATGTGTTTCTACTTCCATTGACTTTAAATGGAGCTAGGCAAAAAATGCTGAACATGGGAGAGCCTGGGATTTAAAAGCACCTGATAAGAGGACAGCAGCTGGATTTTTCCTGATCATGAGAGGTAGATAGAAGAGTCTGGGACCTGGCTTGGCACAAAACAATGGGGATGGAGAGGAAAACAGCGCAGTCAGCAGTACTCACCTCAAGCTGTAAGTCACCATTTCCTGGGGCAGGCTGTTCTTGGTTCTGAAAGCAAAATGCAGATGTTACTCTTCCCTACATTGCAAGCATGGGTGCTGCAGACATACTGCAAACAGCTGGCTCACAGAGCATCTGGGAGCACATGGCTCACATTACATAGTTTTCCTTGCAAATTTGTTGGGTTTTGTGAATTAATCACAGACATCTTCCCTTCRTCTGAGGTATTTAGTTCTGTGCCTTTTCTGTGACTCTCAGGCAAAACTCCAACTACAGGATGTCCCAGTTGGCTGAAAGTTCATTTTATACCCTCTCTCTGCTCTTTCTCCTGGTCAGGCATTAAAGGTGAGATTTGGCCTCAGATTCCCACCCTACACCCATTCAGTAGAAGGTGGCTTATCTTTACCTCTTTGTTCTGAGTTGTTTCCAATAGACCAAAGCAAAAATAGCTGTAAGTGTCAAGAGAAATCCCATGACAATTCCAGCTATGACTGGCATGGGGAGTGGAGATGCCTCTACACTTGCTTGAGCAGCTGAGGTCAAAAAGAGGAAAAAAAGACAGAAGTTAGAGCCAATAAACGGCTACATTTACTGCATTTACAACATTTACTAAAGCCCCTGAATTCACCTATGTACTACCATTAGYTTATAGTCTCTACATGCACAACCATGTGGTGTATCTCACAAAGTGGCAGTRAGATACGGATTCAGTCTTACCTGAGAACATGGTGAATGACACTGCAGGAGCTACCGGATCATACCTGGTGAAGGCAGCGATGCTGAACCTAYGGTAAAGCACAGCCCTGCCGTCAAGGCAAACCCGAACTGATCGCAACAGTCATACAGGCAGCAGCCAGAAAACCTGAAAGGATGTGAAAGCTGCCTCTGTTCTGCTATGTTAGAAAAAGACTTGTTTTCTCATGGGAGTTCAGGTAATTGTTGAAAGGGTCCTTCCTCCCGCTTTTGAGTTTTGGGCAAGTTTGCTGTACTTAGGAGTGTGTGAAAAAAATGGTGGAAAGCACAAATGGCAAACTGCTCTTCTCAGAGAGGTTTTTTGCAGAGACCGATAGTAAGATGCTCCTCTTACAGAACAGAAATAGGGAAAGATAACAGCATGTAAGGAAAACAAAGTCACTAACTCAATTATTGCCAGGCTACTAATTGCTGTGCTAATTGCGCTGCCCAAAGAGAGCTGAGCCCAGGCACACACCCATTCCAGACACCTGGAATTGGCTGTGTGGACTCCAAGCAAAGTGCACACCAAGCATTGCAGACCCACAGACCTGGATTCCTTGTCCTCTGATCAGGTAGCCCAAAAGGGTTGAACCTCATGACCCTAATGAATGCTAGGACTTCCAAAATCAGCTTTGGATTTTAGCAGCCAAGATTTGGTGGGCTCCCTCTGTCAGCGTTCCAGACCTGGTGTGCTAGGCTCAGGATACCTTTGGAAACTGAACCTGCAGACACCAGGGCATAAGAGATAAGAGCTGAACTTGTGGATAAATGAGTTGCTAAAAGATGAGAAACAAAAGTTAACTTTCATAGTGGGGAGCAGCCAGGAGCCACTTGAGGYGTCTGCTTACCATACTCCTAATGATCTAATTAGAAAAGCAGCACAATTTACTGAAGTTACACATTATTTCCAGCAACCAAAATGAAAGCAAGCTATGGAAATCTGCAAAAGGATCTCCTGCTCTTAACTGACCAGACAATTAAACACATGGTTTTCAATCACAGCAAGCAAGCTACAGACACGGCGACAGGCTCTGAATTAGCTGTCCACATCCTTTGTGCGGGAAGTATATCTTGGAGAGAAAATGTGATCTCTCTGCTGGAAAGCACCAAGGGCTAGTAAACACAAACCGGCTGGTGGCTGAGAGGGTGCTAGGGAGCTGGAGTGGTATCTCAGCATATTTGTGCTGTTGCTAAACCCTGTTTGAGGCTGCTGGCAGCAACTGGAGATGAGGTCGAAAAGGTCCTASTCTCAACCAGTGTGGCTGTTCTGTTCTTACCCTGGACATCTGGTGAGCTGCTGAGGCAGCATTTACAGCGTCTGTCAGCATCAGCTTTTGTTTCTGCTCTCCCTTTCCTTGCCCACTGACACTAATATTCTCCAGTTTGTCAACCCTTGCATTCCTCAAACGCTGCTCAGAAGAGCAAGCCCTGGGCTTTGCCACTGGAGGTCTGGTGAACGTGAGTGCGAGGTGAGGGAACGGTTGGCACCTTGCAGGGGACACATGCAGTCCTTCTAATTCCCCAGCCCCTTCCGCCACAAAGGACAGTGACTTATCCTACCTGTACTGCTTGTCRGCTTTCAGCTTCCCATTGCATGTTGCCCTAGACTGGCCACACTCCTCTATTCCCACTGGTACTGGCCAGGTTTCCAGGGAACTCCTGGGGCTTGGATGGAAGGGATTCGGGATCAGTACAGCCAAGTAGGAATCCTCTGTCCCATAATAGTGGTCGTACCATGTGCTGGACATGCTTTCCTGGGTGGGCCTCAGCACTGGAAGGAAAGGCACAAAGCGACATTGATAGTCCCTGAGTGATGTCCAGGGAAACTCCAGCTCTCTAGGGAGCCACGGCAGTTCAGGATGTGCAGGGGCACTTACACGAGTTGTTAGTGGTGACAATGACACCGTAGTACTCGATCTGGCCATTCTCCTCACTGAACAGATCGGATGAAATGACAACTGTGGAGCTGGCCTCCACATGGAAGATGTTTGTTCGCAGGGGTGGAGGCAGGGCTGGAAGAGGAACCAGTTAGTGTGTCCTGGCGCCTACAGACCCACCATATACTCAGCATTTGAGAGTCCCCAGCAACATCACCCCAAAGCCTTGCCCCATTGCAATGCAGTGCAGGACCACATGGGGTTCCTAGATATCTGAAAAAGTCCTCAAATTTTATTAGTGACATCAGATGTTCTCTTCTGCGGTCTGTGGATAAGGCTGTAGGAAATAAGAGAACTCACCCTCCACCGCCGTGTGGCAGAGCAGAGTTACAGCCTGGCTCCTCATCCTGTTCTTGCCCACTGTGCTCACAATGATTCTATATGAAGAGTTTGGCTGCAGTCCTTCAAGGCTGACTTCACTGCTAGGGACACTCACAGAGTCCTTGGAGGTGAGAGGTCCATCTCCAGAAAGTCTCTCTGTCATCACCTCGTATGCCTCCACATCTCCAGGAGAACTGGTCCAATTCAAGTAAAGGCTACTGGACTCTGACAGGCATTGCACATCCTCTACTGGGTTTGGTTCTGCAAAAGAGACAGCTCTAGATACAACAGGCTCTGAACTTACTACATAAGAAAAATCCCAGTGTCAACCCATGTATCACCCCAGAGACATTGTGGCCCTATTCTGCTAGTCCCTAGGTCTATGGGAGAGGACAGACCTGAATGTGCTCAAGAGTCTTCTGTGCTCAGGGCCAAAAGACAAAGTGAATGGGCCAGGGTATGGGAAGGATGCATCTCGTAAGAAGAGAACTACTCCAATGCTATTCTCCTCTGCAGAGTCCACTTTGCTTCACAAGTTGCCAGGCCACTGGCTTATGGGGACTCTCTGCTGAGGAAAGCTCACGAGGTTGAAGGCTACCAGAAGAGTAGACCTTGCTGGTCCCCCATATCTCCACGGTGCTGTCAACCCCAAAGGGCTGGTCCAGCCTTGAGGCCAGATGTTTTCACTCTTCCRGCTTGCACTCCTCCCATCCCCACAACAGATCAAACCTACCTACTGGCACTGCCAAGGGTTTGGTGCTGCTCCAGTAGGGCCCAGCCACGCAGCTCAAGGACACGGAGTAGTTTCTCCCCGGGATCAGCCCCTGGAAGGTATGCCGCACTTGACCTTTGGTGATGGTGTGCTGCTGGGGAAGAGAGCTGTTCCTGGGATCTTGCAGCCACAGCTGGCAGTCATCCTGCTGGCCCGAGACACTGTCCCAGGAGATGAGTATTGTGTTGTTCCCTTCCACCAGCGCAGAGAGATTTTGGGGAACTGAAGGGGCTACAATGAAAATCACATTGTGGGAGTGTTACTGGCATGCCAGAACCCCTGTCACATCCTGCAGAGATAGAAAGAGGAGATGAGCAATACAGGGGGAAGCTTCCTATATTTAGTGGTATGATCTCTGCAGCTGCTGACTGTCACTATCAGAAGCGGCCTTTAAATGGCAATGGATAGACATGCAAAGTGCTGAGCTTGAGTAGATGGGCTCTTCCTCCTGCTAATTAGCAAGTGTTCAGTAGAGACCAGCCTGAAGGGCTCTGCACATGACTCCCAGTACCCTGCCAGGGACTGGCTGAGCGTGGGAGCAGAGACCTCCGGATTCTCCAGTTGAAGTGCATGGTTTGTGGGGACAAGCACATGAAGAGGCTTATTGTGCTTATCTCCAATTTCCACATTCCTGAAAAAAAAAAAAAAAAAGCTCAGCCTGCCCTTATGCCCTATGCTGGGAATTTCCTTCGTGCCTCAGAGAACGGCAGGGCATTCCTTTGCCTTGCTATGGGGCCTTACGGACCCCCAGGCTCTGAAGATGTCCTTGGTCAGAGCAGCAATAGCATCCGTGGATCCCTTGCTCTTGTTCAGTCACGTCTGGAGGAGCCAGCAATTTATGAGCAGTGAGACTGCCAGCCAGTGACCATAGCCAGTGACTACAGCTGTGTCTTAGGGACATGTCTTAGGGACATCAGCAGTTCCCTGTTCCTCTCCACTCCACAAGGGCTAGAGTAGATAATAAACTTATTGCTGCAGCAATACCTATAACTTCCAGGCAATAAATACCTCCAAGCCTGTCTCTGCATCTTCTTGCTGCAGGTGCTGAGCCTGCCTGCCTGCCTCATGAAGCCTGAACCTCACTTAAGACATGAAGGACTCCGGTTCTGTCACTTACTTGTCCAGTCGCTGATGTTCCCTGCTGAGGCTGTGTAGGGCCCTGCCACGGAGAGGACTTCCAGCACGTATTTGTGCCCTGGAGCCAGGCCAGAGAAGGTGAATTTGTTGGTGCTTTTCCCCACAGACGCGTTGCCTGCCACAATACCTGATCCCACATGGTACAGGAAGAGCCTGTAACCATCTTGTCCTCCGGGCTCAGCTTTCCAGGACACACTTAGCCTGTTAGTATAGCCCTGGTTTGTCATGTACACGCTATATGGTGCCAGGGGATCTGGAGAGACAAGGTGGGAGACGGATGTATTAGTGAAGGGCCTGAGGACATTGCGCAGGTGTCCTGGCAGGGTCACTGCAAAAGGTGCACCATACAGGATGGGGCACTTTGTCTTCACTGGAGGGCAGTATCTGGAAGCCTGGAGGCTTCTAAAAATAACTTGTGCAAACTCTGATTATTTCCCGACTGAGCAGATGAGCTTGTTCCAGATGGAGCAAGCTACCTCGAGTGCCTCGGGAGCAAAGGTTGCACCCAGCCAGGTGAAGGGTGGAGGAAACTGAATCTCCTCCTCCCACTGACTCCCAGCTCTCAGTTTCTGCTCCCTCGCTCCCTCCTCTCTTGCTGGGGGCCAAATCTCTTCTCTCTTCCATCGCCCCCAGATTCTGAAGCTGAGCTAATCCAGGGTTGTGGAGATAATGGACAGAGCCTTGCTCAGTGCTGCAGCATGGACATATACTTGGGTTACAGTGGGGTCAGGAACCCTTGACAAAAGCCACCAGTGCTTTGAGCATTCATGATGGGCAGGCTACCCCTGCCCTGTCAAGGCCTGAGATCACCCTCAAAAACATGATACTCACATGTCCAGTTGCTGACATTCCCTGCAGGTATCCGGTAGGACCCAGCTATGGACATCACTTCCAACACATACTTGCTTCCTGGATGCAGGCCCGTGAAGGTGAAGTTGTTGATGTCGCTCCCGAAGGAAGCTGTAGCTGACACAGTGTCCAAGCTCACACGGTACAGAGTGAGAGCGTAGCCATCTYGCCCGCCGGCTGCTGCTCCCCAGGAAGCTCTCAGCCTGTCGGAGTGCCCCTCACTCAGCAAGCACACTGCAGCAGGGGGCAGGGGGCCTGGGGAGTCACCAGATCTGATATTAGCGACCAGAGACTGTGTAAAACGAAACAAATGGGATGGGATGCTGTGCAGCAGGAAGACTCTCTGAAGGCTGGACAGCATTAAGCCTTCTCCAGTATGCTCCTCCTCCTCACTCTTCTCTTTTCCCTTCCTCTCCTGGTCGACTTCTAATGCTGCTCATTCATTGCAGTCCTTTATTATCTTCTCTGTCCAGTTCCTAGCTCTCTCTCTTCTCCATACAACCCAACTGCAGTGCCAATCTGTCTGCCACATACACATAGCTTCTCCAGCCATTCTCTGCCAAACAACTGGCAGGAGCACRGGGCTTAGCTTGGGCAAGTCTAAAGGACTAGTCAATACTTTGTCCAGCATTTAAATCTTTTTGGGATGAGCAGAAGTGCTGGACCAGTCCTGCACAGCAGAAATTTGTTCTCTTGAGAAGGCTATGGATCAGACTTTYCCTACCGCACTGACTCATGCACCTTTAGGATAATGTGTTTTCTACTTGCTGGAGGAAGCACAGCAAGGCTATAAGTGCTCAGGTATGCAGGGATAGCTGCATGGGCATGGGCATGTCCTCACATGGGCATGTTGGACCCCACTACATATCATCAGCACATACTTGTGGAAGCCTACATGTGTGAACACCAGTGTGTCCATGGGGATAACAGTGTGCCCACGCACTAACTGTTGTGTATTGCATTCACACATGTGCGTGCACAGTTTCAAAGGCACCAGTTTCCCTGTGAACCCCTCAGCCCCCTTCAAGGTGACCCAGTTGTGCCAGGGTTCCCATCCATCCTCAGAGCACTCACRTGTCCATCCACTGACATTGTGTGCCACTGTCTGGTATGGTCCAGCCTTGGCACTGACTTCCAGGGAGTATTCGTATCCTGGGGCCAGCCCCAGGAAGGTGAAGTTGTGGGTGTCTCTTGCGAGTGAGGTCGTTGCCACCACGGTGCCCAGTCCCACGTGGTACAGGGTCAGCATGTAGCTGTCTCGTCCCCCACCTGCAGCCCTCCAGGATGCCGTCAGCCTGTCGGAGTGCCCCGTGCTCAGAAAGTGCACAGCTGCAGGGGCCAAGGGACCTGTGGARAAAACAGGAGTCATTGCCTGGAGCCATGCCTGAGCTGAGGGAAGGGCAGATGTCGCATTTCCATAGCAAGTCTGCAAGTGCTGCAGCCAGTGGCTCAGCCCTACAATGTGCCCAAGACTGGCTTTGTCCTTAGCTCTGTGGCAGCTACCTCTGGGGACCCTGTGCCTCCCCATGCTGCCTGTTCCCCAGCTGTCCCTTTCCCCTGAAGTGGCTTTGCACGGCTGCTTCAGAGGCAACGGGCCAGGCCACAAGGTCCAGCACAGTCTCCCTATGCTGCATGCAAAAGATGGTGAACACAGGGTGTTCATGTGGGTGAAGAGAAGGCAGGGATATGGCTGGATTAGTATGGCCTCTGAGTTGAAGTGGGAAAAGGGAGACCCCATGGAAGACCCCTGGCTGCACCATACTCACGTGTACAGTGGGTGAGGTTGAGCGTGGTGGCATGGTAGGGCCCAGCTGTGGCCCTCACTGTGACACTGTAGTGAGTGCCGGGGCTCAGGTTGATGAAGGTGTGACTCCTAGTGTGCCTGTTCAGCACCAYGTGCCCAACAGGGCCACCAGAGGCCCTGTCGTAGAGATCCACCACGTAGCCCYCTGCTCCCTGCTCCACAGCTGCCCAGGAGGCCTGCAGTTTGGAGGCAGAGGGGCTGCTCACCATGAGGTTGGATGGAGCCAATGGATCTGGAAGACAACAGAGTAATAGTCATCCCCTGCATGTGCCACCTCTCGCTCCTGATTGYGCTAGGCTGATTTGCCAAGTGGCTCTGTGAACTCTGGCAATATTACGGGCTGGATCACAGCTCCACACTCCTGCAGGCAGGCAAGGGGACAGTCAGTGCACATGGCTCCAAGGAAAATATCCTTGGGACAAGGGCCAATATCCTTTAGGACATGAGGCAATRGTCACACACTCAAGCACAGGAAGTTTCTCCTGAATTTGAGGAAGAACTTCTTGACTGTGAGGGCGACAGACCACCAGAATAAGTTGCCCAGACAGGTTGTGGAGCCTCCTTTGTAGATATTCCAAACCTTTCTGTGCGACATGTCCTAGGTTACTCTGCTTGAGCAGGGCAATTGAACTAGATTATCTCCAAAGGTCCCTGCCAGCCCCAATCATTCTGTGACTCTGTGATTGCAGATTTGCAAGATAGACCTGATACCCAGCAGCTTTGAGGTGGATGGGCAGACTGGCCAAATATGGGGCTTAGAGTGGGGACAGGGACCTAGAAAATGGATTGAGTGAGCAGGAGAATTGTGGGGATGATTTGGGATGGAGAAGTGGTGAGTAGGGATGCATTTGAAGACTCACATAGTGGCTCTGGAGCACAAGAAAGTGCTGTAACCCTCCCTTTAGACTTACATGTCCACTGAGTGACATTTTCAGAGGAAGCTTCAAATGAGCCTTTCACAGCAGTGACCTGCACAGCAAACCTGCTGCCTGCCTCCAGATGAGTCCAGGTAACATTCTGAGCATCTGGTGGCAATGTCCGGACCCTGGCCCGGCTCTGAGAGGTGAGGCTATATAAGTTAACACGATAATGGTCCCTTCTGCCAGGGGGTTTGTTCCAGCATGCATGAAGCTCTGAGGAGCTGCCTGGGTTGGTAAGGCTCAAGTTYGTCGGAGCAGCAGGAACTGCAAGAAAAGACACAGATAAGAGTCAGAGAGAAAAAAACATATAGTCATTTCTGCCTTGCTGATACCAACAGTATCAGGCAAGTCAGTGATGTTATACCCAGTGATGACGTGGAAGAAGGCTGTAACAGGCAGAAAATGACAGCAGATCATCATCATCTGGAATCTGGCCAGGGGGCTTGGTGTCTTCTCTGGATGRAAAACAACATTCTCCATTCCCTTTTACAGCTCTTAGAAACCCTCCCACCTGGAGGCATGCGACTGTGGTGTGGATGATCACCTGTACAACTAGTGACATTCTTGGGGAGGGAGCGGTAGAGTCCAGCTACAGCCCAGAGCTCAACAAGGTAGCACGTTCCTGGTGCCAGCTGTGCCAAGGTGATGTTGGTGCTGTCTTTTCCCACGTCCAGGTTCCTTGCTGATGAAGAGGAGTCCTCCTCATGCACGCTGAGCAGATATCCATCCCTCTGACCTGGTGGAGTCTCCCAGTGCACAGCCAGGGCCCAGGAAGTGCTGACAGGGATCGCTGACAGTGAGAGAGGAGGTAGCGGGACTGTGGGAGAGAAACAGTGTTAGAGTGGGCAAATCTTGGTCTGCCCAGGACTGAAGGTAGCTTGGGTGTGAAGTGAAGCTGCAGGATGGTGAACCTCCAAGACACTATCATCTAAAGAGAGTTGAGGACAGTGGGTTGCTTGCAGATCAAAGCTGCTCCTTGAGTCCTAAGTGGTAGCAGTAAGTTGCAACCACAGCCTGAGACTTCAAAGCACTGGGTCAGGCATGGCAGGACACCCCATTGAGCTGGTGGACTCAAGGTGAGCTCTCCATGCAGTGAGAGTCCCAAAAACATAGCCAGCACACTAAGTATGACAGACACTGGTGGGGTAGCAGGGATGTGGGCTGCAGGCCCTCCTGCACAACTATTCCCTTGGCTCCCAGATCCTCACCAAGTCAGCCAGGATGGTACCAGGCATGGGGATGCTGCAGGAGAGCCCCGTTCCTACCAGTATAGCCGATGACAGTCTGGGAGGAGCTGCGATGAGGCCCAGCCTGTGAGAAGATCTCCACACGGTATTGGGACCCTGGCACCAGCCCCTCCAGGTCAATGTGGTTGACTCCATAGGGAACAGACACATTCCTGATGATGGACAGGGATTCAGCCACCGAGAGCTGTACCAAGTGTTCTCTGCCACCATCTGGCTCCACCCAGCTCACATGCAGCTCCTGGGGTCTCCGGCCAGGCTGTATGCTCACGTTAGCCAGCGATGATGGATCTAGGAGGAAACATAGCACAGGGATCCATGAGATGGCAGAGGAAAACAATGGGGGAAGGCAGGACCCAGCCTGCACCTCTGTCACCAGACTAAAGGATAAGCTCTCACTAGAGCCCTCCTGCAGAGATGGCTTGGCTGTATCTGYGTCACTGTGAAGCTTGTGGGCAGTGCCATGGTGCCCTCTCCCTGCAGCAGGCTGGTGCCACCCTTCACTCACATGTCCACTCRGTCGCAAAGTGGGAGGAAGATCTGTATGGGCCAGCAAGGACGGTCACCTTCAGGAAATATTGAATACCAGGGGCCAGGCCCAGGAATGTGAAATTCYGTGTTTTGGGCCCCACTGTGATGTTCCTTTGTGACGGAAGGTTCTTGCTGTAGAGCTGGAGGTGAAACTGGTCCACATCACCAGCAGCCTTGTCCCAGAAGGCAGAGAGTCCCAGTGGGCTTCTGGTATTGGTCAGGGTCACACCGGACGGAGCCATGGGGTCTGAGAAAGAAGAGACATGCGGGCAATGAGAAGCAGCTGTGGTAGAGGTGGGAACTGCTGCCGAGTGATGYGGTGCTGGGTTGACTCAGGAGACAGGACTATGATCCCCATATTTGCCCTAGGATGAGTTTGAGCTCCTTGCTCCAGAGGCGGAACATCRGGGGAGTTGGGGAGTGCAGAGCTGCCGGCAGAAAGGGCTGTATGTCTGCAGGCCCTCATCCTGGGCACCCTGGACTGCTTCTTCCTGGTCAAATTAGGTTAGGCATTTGTGCTATAAACCAAACCCCGAGAACAGGCTAGACTTCCACTCTGCAGCACACATGGCACCTAGTTCCCGTCTTTTTTTCTGGGTGATATTCAGTGATGGGTTTCTCCTCCTGAATATCCTTTTGTTTCCAACCTGGCTGAACAAGGCTCTGCTCGTCCTTCCATTCTTCCTTCCTCTGCCAACCATCCCTGCCTCCAGTTCCCCACTCTGTTCTAATTCCATGCTGAAAACCCTCTGCTCTTTCTAGCCAGATTGTCATTGCAATTGGAAATAGGGTTGAGCTGGGAATCCTGCCCTTCTCGGTGGCGGTTATGCACTCACATGTCCAGTCTGTTGCWGATCGCATAGGGGATTTGTAAGGCCCAGCTGTGGCAACCATTTCCAGGGTATACTGTCGCCCAGGGACGAGATCCTCAAAGGTGACATTTGTCAGGCTCTTCCCTGTTGTCACGTTCCTGACACATCTCTGGGCTTTCGTCTCCCAGAGAGAACCAGTGTAGCCGGTGCTGCCAGCAGAAGCTGCTTTCCAGGAAGCTTGTAGAGACGTGCTGAGGCCTTGATTGCTGAGGGTCAGCTGCTCTGGAGGCAAAGGATCTAGGAAAGGCAAAGTCTAGAATCACAGCTATGGTCAGACGGGGCCACCTGACAGAGSTTCAATGTGCTGGGCTGAAGGTCCTTCACTAGGAATAACCCCACTCTGGGAAGTCCAAGCTCTTGGGCTGCCTCTGGGATCTGAACAGGTCCCCACACCCCTTCTAAACCCCCCACACTAGTGAGGGTGGTGGTGGCGAGGAGTTACATCTCCAAGGTACTGAGGGCTGGGGAGCATTGGGTCCAATATAGCATGGGAGGAGAGGCGTGCTGAGGCATGACACCACTGAGAAGAGCAGAATGYAACTGGAACCTCAGGGGCTGGCTGGGGCTGTGGTACTCACACGTCCAGTTGGTGATGCGCTGAGGTGCAGAGGTGTAAGGGCCAGCCACAGTGCTGATCTCAAAGCTATAGAGGGTTCCGGGGTGAAGGCCCTCATAGGTGAAGTTGGTGACACCCCTGAGAAGGGAGCTGTTCTTCATAGGGAGCTCCACGGGACTGAGGACCAGCATGTATGCCTCTCCCATTGCCTTTTCCCAGCGGGCTAGCAGGCTGGAGGAGCTGCCCTGGTTGCAGAGGCTCACACTGGATGGTGGCAGTGGCTCTGAAAGGACAAAGATGGGATCATGCATGTCCCAGGGGCAGGTATGAGACAGACAGCTTCCCTTCATGGCAAGGTGTGGTGGTCTCCTCCAGGAAATACAGGCAGCCAGAATTGCAAGGAGACCATTTCACTTTTCTGAGTCCCTCCCCACTCTGTTCTTCCTGCTTCTAGTCCTGCTCCAGTCATTGCCTGCCTTGGTAAAACCAGATGGGAACTGCTTGTGACTTTGAGCTTCACTCAGGAGAAAATTGGTACAGGGGGGATGGCAGTCTGCTCTAAAGGTTCAGACAATGCTTCAGTATGGACAGAGCTGAGGGAGGAGAAGTTGTCATGATGCTTGCTGAGTGCTAAACCTGAGGGTTATTGAATATGATAAGGGCTTGATTAATGCCTGACACTATCTGTCATGAGTCTGCAACGGGCCTTGAAATCCATAGTCCAGGAGGACCCGTGGTGTGGAATGTTTTGCCATTCTGACCAACACCTGTTCTTGAGGCCAGGGCCATCACACTGCACAACTCCTTCTCTGCTAGCTGCGGCAATCATCTCTTTCCTTCCCATGGGATCCCCTTTGGGCATCAGCATTGGAGAGTTTGGCCCCTCTGTGGAGTGGCAGAGGTAGCCTCAAAAAAGTGTTAGACTTTCGGCTTACTTGTCCAGACAGCTGGGCTGTATTCAGAAGCCCAGTAAGGTCCAGCCACTGCTGTCACCTGGACTGAGTATTGCTTCCCAGGCCTCAGCCCATGGAAGGTGACATGACTGCTGTCTCCTCCAACGGAGATGTTCCTTGTTGGAGCACCRTCCTCTTCCTCCTGCAGGGTCACCAGATAAAAGTCTCTTTCTCCTGCTGGGATGTTCCAGTGAGCCTGCAAGGAGCTCTGCTCCTCCACGCTGCTCAGCGTCACATTGCCAGGGCGCAGTGGGTCTGGAAGGGAAGGGGACACGTTGTGTGCATCAGGATTAGAGGGTGCTCTGAACCCCAACCTCGCAGGGCTTGCTTTGTGTAAGGACTGCCTACCAGCACTGAGGTCCTTAGTTGCAAGACCACTACAAGCCTGACTTAAACACTCCATTGAAGCGTACTATTTTCACTCGCAGTGCAACCATTCCTGGTTCATGGAGATTAGATCAGCTTGGCATCCCTGCTAGGAAATTACTAAATGYCCCTCTCATCTTTTTTTTGTGTCCTGTCAAGAATTTGCTGATATTCCTGGGAACTAGCCTGGATTGGACTGCTGGCTGCCCCCAGCTTTAGTGTCTGGCACCAAGGACATTTCTTTTCAGTTAGGGAAATCAGAGTCATGACAGCAACTGCAGGGATGTAGTCGTAGGCAGTTCATAGCAGAAACAAACCAGCTGGGGGTGTGGAGACCTTCCAAAATCCCAGTTGCAGAATTAGCAGCGAGCAGGCTCCAGGCCACAACTTCCTGGACTAACAGGCCGAACAGGAAAGTGCTGGAGACTTTCTATCTCGCAGCTCCCAGGTCCTCAGATTTTGGTGTGCACCTGGCAATGCCACTGGGCACAGCAGGCCTGGGTTTTCAGTTTGTCATCTCCATAATTTGCAGCCTACAGAAGGCCGATGTTTTCTTGGCTTTCAGCAAGAATTCAGTGCTGTCTGAGAGGCTGTGTTTGCTCTCCTCATTTTACCTGTGGTTGCCTGGGGAGGTCTGGGAAATGAGTCTGCAGCAAGAACTGTTGCAATGGACGCTGTGTTGGCAGCMAACCAAGAAAGTGCTGATGGAAGTTGCCCTTTCTCAGGGTCCTCATCAGCCAGAGGTCAGAGGGTGAAGGCAAAGGGGGCAGTTCAATGGGACAACCAGCTGGGGATCTGGGAGTGCTGCCCTCATTTTATCACCTGCTGGAGACTGCTTTCCTTCTGCATCTTGTCCCTCTGTTCCCTCYCTGACTGCTGTCTCTGTCTTCCTTCAAAGTATGTGTTGTAGTCCTGTTTCTACCCATGGTTCCAGGAAACTTGGTGCTCCTGTTCCTCTATGGCGCTCTCCAGCTTGTCCCAGCCTCACAGGCTGCCCATCTTCCCTGCCTCCCCACTCTTCTTGTCTGTTATCTTAGAGCCCCAGAGGTAGACTCTGGATTAACTTCAGATAGAATCCAAGAAGATGTATTGCCATTTTGTACCCAGAGCTCTTTCAGGAAAGTGTTACTTTCAAAGTCTGGACAAAAGGCAAGAGAGATAGACAGTGTCTCCAAGGCAGAGTCAGATCTTCACTTCAGAGTAGTAAGTTGATACACTTTTTTTTTTCCAGAAGGACAAAAGGGGCTTTGTATAAAGAGTGGACTCCAGGACCCAGGGGGATTTGAGGACAGCATCCACTCTCAAGGCTATGACCACACTTTCCTCTCTCCCCTGAGCCCTTGGTTCACAATAACTGTTCTGAGCAGATCCACGGCCACTGAGTTCCCCTTCCTTAACCCAAGTCTGCTATACTCACATGTCCAGGCTGTGGCATTCGGCCCCATTGTGGAATAAGGCCCAGCCATGGCACTGAGACCCAACCAGTACTGAGTGCCAGGCTGCAGGTGCTGGAAGGTGTAGTTGGTGAGRCCTCTCTTGGCTGACAAGGTCTTGGTCACCGTTTGGGTGAGCAGATCGCGGAGCGTGAGGTGCAGCCAGGCAGCTCCCCCAGCACCAGCCCAGGAGGCAAAGAGGCTGGTGCTGGACCCTGGAGTGAGCCTTAGCTGTGTGGGAATGGAGGGTGCTGCAGGGAAAAGCAGGAGGCAGTGAGAATCAGCATTTGCAGAAGAATTCTGGGGGGCTCCAAGGACCCTTATCCCTCCCCAGGGTCTCCTCTATCCACAGCTACTTTACATTCCAGTCCAAGGACTGAAGGTCTGTCTGGATTTTGCTGCAGCCTTTCTCTCCTGTATCCCTTCTCAGGCAAGCTCAAATGGTCTTGGGGTCCCTCCATGCTTTTCTTAGATCTCAGGGCAGAGGAGGGTGGCAATCTGGATAACGCAACATTCCTGCAGCTCCCAGCAGCCGAGGCCGTTTGCCAAGATCCTCATGCTGCCCCTCTCCCATGGGGACATAGAGGACAGTAGCTTGTTCTTCAAAACCAGGACGGAGGTGGGAGGTCTGTCCCCTTGGCTTGACAAATCGGGCAATGGTGGCCCTTACCACATCCCTCAGCTTACAGTAGGAATGTGAAAACTTTCCAGCTGCTCCYCAGTTTATGCACACTTCCCAACCTGTGTCTGGATTCTTCCTCCTCCTCCCTGCCAGCCCAGCTGGCACATGTGCTGGATTTCTCCTGCCAAGGCATTCTAATCTCTACCCCTTTCCCCCCTCACACCTTGGGCTGGCACATACCTGTCCACTGGCGGATACTGGTGCTGGCCTGGCTGGCTCCAGACAGTGTGCTGACTTTCAAGGCATACTCGCTGCCAGGCAGCAACCCATCAAACAGGAATGTGGTGGCATTTGGCAGGACGGATGCATTTCTCACGAGAATCTGGGAGTCGCTGTGATACAGGGCAAGGTGGTAGCCGTCCAGCTGCCCGCCGGCATGTTCCCAGGAGGCGCGCAGCACTGCAGAGCTCCCATCGCTGCTCAGGCTCAGGTTGTGGACAGGTGATGGACCTAGGTCAAGCATGGCACAGACAGGATTTACTCGTTGCGTTGACAGGCCTGATCTGCCAGTATGTGTGGGAGCTGGTGTGAGCCTGGCAGCTTCCCTGGTCTCCCCCAGGTATCAGATCAGTCTCTCCACAGTCACCTCAGAGTGGGCAGGGAAACTCTGCCAGGCACAACATCCTGGAKGTGTACTGAGAAAGACAAGGACAGCAACCCTTGCCTCCAAGCTCACCCAGTGCATGGGCCCTCTTCTTAGACCTGTAGATGCTGCCAACTGCCTTGCTGTAAGCTCTGTACTGTACGTCAGCCCTGCTCTCCTTGCATGGATTCCCAGTCAGTACAGCAGTCTGAGACCATCCTCTACCCATCTGTTCTCCCAGCCAACCCTTTGCCTTTGCTCTGCCCTCCTTAGCAGGCTTTCCACCTTCACCTGCACCAATGTACTCAAGGTTCTTCGGGAAAGAATCAGGCAATGGTTGATGTCCTTATCTGAGCTGTGGGTTCATCAGCTCTGCTCTTTCCACAGTTCCTTGGCATTAGCCAGAAAAGGCCAAAAGCAAGGACTAGTGGACAAGCAGGTGATTGCCAGARGTGTGCCAAAATCATGAAAGGGACACAGCTTCTTGGCATTTCCTTCTAGATCTCCAAGAACAACCTTTTCCATGCCTTAGCTTATTGCAGGGTCCACATCATGGTTTGGTTCGTTACTTGTTGCATTATTCCAGGAGAAGACATGGTCTAGCTAGCGCAAGGTGAAGTGGCAGGACCTTCCCTTCTCGTGGATAAGAGAGTAATTTCTACCTATAGGCTCTAGGTATCAGGAAAGGACCCTAAATGAAAGGAAAATGAAGAACGAGCCAACCTCCCCTTGAATTCACAGGTTTCCACATAGTTCTAATCTTTTCACCCTCCATGGGATAGGATAGGATAGGATAGGATAGGATAGGATAGGTCAGAGTACTTAGATGCATTGACTCTGCAGTCTCTGGGGAATCTCTTACTTGTCTGTCCAATGACTGTCTGGCTGGTGATGCCCATGCAGGCAAGAGTAGCTGTCATGTCAATTTTGTAGGACGTGCCAGGTGTCAGCCCATGGAACCAGAAATTGGTGCTGTTCGGTCCAATTGATCTGTTCTGCAGCATCTTGTCYGGCCGCAGGGAAGAGAGGGCAAGTGAATATCCCACGACACCCCGCTCCGGCTCATCCCAGGACAGAAGGAGAGAGTCTGATCGGCCATGGTCACTCACGCTGAGGTTCAGAAGGGTCCCTGCAGAGGTAAAGCCAAAATCCTCAACAGGAAGCTGTGGTACTTCTGGATTCAACAGAGATATGGTGGGCATCCARGGGGTGGGGCCAGGTCTTCCAGTCCGCCAAACTTCTCTGCAGTTCTTGGCATAGGCTACCTCCACATGTGTCCTGACCCACTGTCGTCAGACACATCGGACCCTCACCCTGAGGTCTCAACAGCATTTGGAAAACACGAGAGTGTTTTAAAACCCTTTGGAGTGAAGSTCAAAGACATTATGTGAAACAGACCCTCTTAAGCATACAGTATCTCTTCTGGTGGACAAAAAAACAGGCGTCCAACTTCAGGCCAATCTATTCTCAGACAACCCCAGGTTTGTGGCAGAAATACTGTCTTTTATGGTTATAATCCATTGCTTGTCATCTTACGGTATTTCCTTGGTTGGTATGGGCCCCCCAAAAGATGTCAAAGGGCTCTAGACCCAGCTGCAGGGGTGAAGCAAAGGTCATCATGAGAATAGGGTGGATATCGCGGTGGGACAGTTACTCTCCCTGCAGCAGTACCTGCTCTGTGAGCCCTGACACCAGGGACCTGAAGGCTGCCCTTGAGGGACCCAGGCACTGACATCAGGGAAGAGCAGAAAGGTTTCTGGGTCTGGGGACAAGGGAGATGTTTTCTGAACTTGTAGATGGACTGAGATAGCCCAGAGAGCAACCTTGGCCCCTGCAGCATATGRATAAACCAGATCCTCTGCCAGGGAACAACAGACCTGGAACTTGTCCTGCACTTGGCTGCACCACAGCCCAGAAAGGGTCTCGAGTGCAGGACAYTCAGTGCTGCAGTGGCATCACCAGCGTGCTGCGGTTGCAGGGCCAGCACTGTGGCATCCAAACAGAGGGCGTCTGGGAATGGGAAGTGGCATATAGGGATATATCTCATTGGTGGGGCAGTGGCCAAAAATACCATTGGATCTCTGCCTTTACAATTACTCAGGGACTGCCTACACAAAAAGGAACGAGACAGATCCTGTTTGTTAGGACCAAACCAGCAAGGTGACACCTCCACATCCCGTGTCTATCCCTTGCATGCTTCTGTGTTGTCTTGCTATATGGTCAATCGGACTCCCAAACCCCTGATGGAGACCACTCTGTTGGCAGATTGTCCCCTACTCTCCACTTCTCGATATTGTTAACTACATTCTTTCTGTTGATTTCAGCCTTCGGGAAGCATTATAGATAATCTGCATAAGTAGCACTTAAAATGTATAATGTGCAATGTGTTGTAACAGCCTTACATGCGATCTGGGAGGACAAGAAAGCTCTAAACCAGCACAGCCATTGCCCCAAAGGTGTGCCAGGGGCTGCCTTTATGTGGCGGAGGGACAGCAGTGTGGGGTGAACCTGGGATCAGGMAGACCTTCCAGACTGTGCAGGTGTTTTGTGCAGGTTTCCTGCAAAGCTGGAGAGCCCTGAAGCTTTCCTAACTGTATATTACTTCTGGTTCACATAGTGCTGTTGTTTGGAGCTTGCTGCTAGGCTAAGGAGAACTTTATTTCACAGATATGGTGCAAAGAGATGAAGGACAACTAGACTGCCAGCAAAAAGGGAGATAGGTCCCCAAAAAGCACCTTCTGAGAGGTGATGGTGAGCTGAGGGAATTTCTAATCACTTCCCAAAGGCATCCAGATGAACTGTGCCAGCACAGAGTTTGAGCAATTTCACACAAAGGCCAGGAGGGTTTTCCACTATGGGATCTTTCTTGTTTCGTACAGGTTAGAGTTCTCCACCCATGTTTGCCTGCTGGTCCTAGGCTGCCAATAAACTGAATAGCCTTCCTCCATTTGCCATTTCCCAGTCATCTTCGCTTCTCTGTTAAAACTACRCTAATACTAAAATAGGCCAGGCACATCGTCCAGCCCTAAGACCCGGCTCATCCAACCGTAGCTACTTTCTGTCAACCACATTCTCAGAAGGCCACACATCCAGACACATTCAGTGCCCTACATGTTGCCTGTGCATCATCTGGGACAGTGCTCATTGGAATGGGCCACAGCTGTGCTGGGGATGCCTTTTCCATCCTCCACATGCTGCCCACTCTGGAGTTCATCTCTGCTGGGAGAAACAAGGCTTTTCCCTTGCCCCTGCCCAGGAAACCAGGTCCCCTGGTCATAATCAGCTTCAACAAGCAGTGAGTCTAAAGCAAAATATCTACCAAGCCTCTCTTAGGTCCAAAACTGTTTGCCTGACAGTTTCTGGGCACCAAGACCTCCCTCCACATCCTAGGTAGTACCTTGTGTCTCTCATATCTGACTTACCTCCATCACTTGGTGCATCCTGCCCTTCCAACTCTGCAGTCTGATTGCATCTCTCGCCCTAGGGGATTGAGGTCATCAAGAGAAAGAGGGGTGAGGTGAGATGGTCCACACTGAGGCTAAAGGCTAGGACAGGTGACCTGTGCCAGGCCAAGGGTCGGGATGGCYGGGCACAGGTTACACCCAGTCGTGACATCTGGACGTATGGCCTTGTCTTCCCAGGGCAGCATAGGTCATCTCCAGTGACAGCCCTCCCCTAGCCAAGGCAGGAAGAYGGGCATAGCTTCTCAGTCTTCAGACATGCATGGGGCACCTCYCGCGGTGAGAGACATCAAAATTATCAGAGTATCAGGGGAAGATCTAGGTAGGGTGTGAGCTCAGGATAGGCCATAACAATCTCATTCCCTGTGCATCACCCCCAACCCCCTTTCCCATGACCATGGAGGGCGTTGGAAGGGCTCCAGAACTCAGTCCATTGCCATCCTCTGCAGGCTGCCCCACCACGACTTGGCCTGACAGGTTCAGAGCGTCCAGCAGTGTCATCTCCCAGAGAGTTTGCTGGGTGCTGAGCAAACTTTGGGGACACTCACAGCCTGCCAGCAAGCAGTGTGAGCAGGGTGTGCTCTGCTTTGAGTTGTGGCGAGTTCCCTCCACATTAAAGGAAATATCTTTGCCCGCTCCTTGTCCAGCAACAAACCGCAAAGGAACACTCATCTTTCTGTAGTTATTTCTCCCTCAGCTCTGGCGTCTGACTCATTTCTGGCTCCTCCACCGACTGCCTTTGGGAGCGTGTGTGTGGAGGGGAGTGAGGGGGACCCAGACCCGCAGGGAACAGCAGCCAGCCAATTCCTGGGATGAGGAGCTGTGGAGCTCTGGCAGCAAGAACAAGCTCTGATCTCAGGCACTGGGGCAGGAGGGCATAGTGGGTGAGGGGGAAGCAGAGGAGAGAGTCAGCTTGTAATTGCAAACGTTGCTAATTTGGTGCAGCTGCGTGGCTGGAGAGGCAGCCCAGAAATATGCCGTCATTCCTCAGTGGGATAGAACCATGTRAGCCCCTTGCTGCCAGTGAATGCTGAGCCAAGACCCTGCATGGACAAACAAGGGGTTCAAGAAACACGGGCTTACCTGTGCCTGGGTTCCGAGGTGCCACAGGACGAACAACGGCAGCAGCAGGAGTTGCATTGGCACTGGGGCAGCTGCAGGATGAAGGAAGAGAAAGTCGGGCGGGAGCTTCTCAGCGGTGCCTGTGCCCTGCTGGCCCCTGCTCCCATTGCACGGAGGGGCTGTGTCCCCACAGGCTCAGGTGACAGGGTGGTGTCAGGGGGAGCCGGTGCCGCATGCCAGCGTGCTGCACGTCGCCAGCTGTCCCCGGGCAGAGGCAGAGTGCGCCTCCGGGCTGGGAGAAGTCCAGCGTGTGTGCGTCYTCTTGCAAGCATTTGCTATTGTTCCTGCGGGTCTACATCCCGCCGCGGCCGCYCCGTGGTTGTTGTTGTGCCAGCGCTGTGGTTAGAGAGCTGGTTGCTAGCGGGGGGCTTGGAAGATGCAAGGGGGTTACTGCTGCTGGGTGTCTGCAAGGCTGGAGCCCTGTCTGACTGTCAGGAGTCTCTGCGGGGTTGTGGGAGCTGGTGCAGAGAGGGGAGGAGACAGAGAATGATGGATGGCGGCTGGGAGCTGGAAGGGAGGGCCCGGAGCAGCCCTCAGAGTGAGGTAGGTGGACACAGCCTCCAGCAACTGCGTCCCTGCGTAAGGAGCAGGCATCTGCACGAGGGTCTGCAGACACAGGGTGCCGTGCACCTTGCCCACTGCCTCTGTCCCCAGCGCATCCATATATCCTTTAACTCTGTGTGTTAGTGCGTGATTCTGGTAGCGAACGCGAGCTCTGGCCGTGCCTGGTGACGTGGGGGACACGTGCCTGCACRCCGCACTGCTGCTGTGCAGATGGTAGCTGTGCACGCTGCGAGCCTTTTGTGTGCGCTGTGTCCCATGGGTGCAGAAGCGCCCGCAGTGTGCCCGGATTGAGGCACTGGCTGGGTCTGAGCGGTGCCACGTGTGCCCYGGGGCTGCAGGGGCTGCGCTGTGCCCCGCTGCCGTCCCCCCGCGCGCAGCACCGCGTGGCCGTGGCCGTGGGTGGCCTCTGCGCAGCGCGCGGCTCCTTGCCAGCCYGGATTCAGGCGGAGATGCCGCTGGCTTCACATCAGCGCTGCAGATCTGGGGCAGTGTTGGAAAGGGTTCAGTGATGCAGCTATTGAGGAAGCCAGGACAGCCGGTGTGGGCATGGGAGGGTGTCGTGGTAGCCAGCACAGCCACAAAGGGCAGTTGTTAGAGCCAGGCCAGACTCTGTGAGCCCATAGGCCTGCTAGGGTGGGATCCCATAGGGACTCATCCACCAATGAGATTGTTGGGATTCCCTCCCACGGAAACTCTGGGATTAGTCAAATGGGACCTGTGAGGGCCAGACTTGTCCCCAGGAAGCAAATCTCCTGGGCCAAGGCTTTAGGAAGTCCCTAGTGAGTAAGCGAAAGCAAAGACAATATAGAGGGGCAACCATTAAAAATGCATCAGACTGTGACCACTCTCCAACCCTGAATCCATGCCCCAAAACTCCTGACAACCCCCAGGTTGATGGGATCAGGTGGAAAAGAGGACAAGGCATGTGGCTTCTCTTTGCCTGTAGGAAACAGTGTTTCCCAGGTCCTGGCACTATGGCAATGGTGGTAGGAGTCCTTGTCCTTGGTCAACACCAGGTCTCTGCAGAGATACCATGGCCCAGACAGGAGCAACCTGAGGGCAGCCAAACGCAGGGGTGGCCACAGGGATCCTGATCCCCGACAGGGTCAGCCCTGCCTCTGTCATCCTTGTCACTCGCGTGAGTTTGGGACATTGCTTGGACTTGACTCCTTTCAAGCCTGTCGTCCAGCAGCAGTAGAACATGCAGGGACCATCCAAACACTTCCAAGCAGGGGTGGGTAAAAGAGCCTGGGACTTGCTGCTCGTCCCAATGGTATTTATCACCTTGCATCCCTGCTATTCATAACTCAAATGTTCAAACGTAACACAGTTGACATAGGGCCATTCAAARAACACCTAGTATCCCAGGAGCTCTGTATTGTGACTGGGCCATGAACAGTTGCTCTGGGCCCTGCTCAGCTGGGAGCACAAGGCATAGTCTTGGCTTTAGTGTAGGTAGCTCCAGAGGGGATGAATGTAAATATTCAAGAGATGCATATRCTTAAGAGATGGAAGTGCAGGGTAAAAACCCTGCCTGGAGACACCATTGCTGCTGCTGCTGAATTTAGAAGTGACTGGAAGACCAGTCTCTGACTCACGAGAAGATAGCTGGGTGCACAGCAGATGCTCATAGATACTGGAGGTTATGTCCTCCAGCTACTCACAGGGATGGGGAGAGAGGTTCCTTCCGTGGGCTGCAGCAGAGGGAGGCTCATGAGGAGGCTGCTGCGGCCTGCAGTGGGCTGGAGGATGTTTTAAACGATCTCTCTCCAGAGCAGAGAGGTTGCAGGCAGTTGAGAGGAGGTATAAGTTCCTCATTGCAGTGAGGACTTGCCAGGTTTATCCTGAGGCCCCAGCGTGGGATCCTGGAGGTTACAGCTGGCATGCCCCCAAATGCCTTTGCAAATAAATTGTTGACTCTCATCCCAGCAGGCAGGATTTGGATTTGGGGGAGATTTTCCCTAGCCAAAGAGTCCAGATTGGACTTATCTAGCTTCAAAGCACACCAAAAAGCTCCAGAAGGTCCTCCAGAAGGAGGACAAGCCTCATTCACTGCAGTCCTAGGAAATGCCAGCTGGGCTGAGCCTGTCCAGCTCAGCTGGGGAGCAAGCTGAGCTTGCACAAGTTCCCTACATGTGCCTACCTCCTCCRGCTTCACCTATTTGCAGCCCAAATGCTCCTGACACCAACCTCTCAGCCACACTTCTGCACTGCAGGCAACTGTGAGACCAYGTCAGCATCGGACCAGCCTCTCTGGCCTGATCCCTCGCTCCGTCCTCACCACACCTGCCAACAGATCTCAGCTGCTTTAGGGTACAGSGCGTCTGGTTGCCTTAGCTGAGCCAAGAGTATTTCTGTAGGTCTCCAAGGGTTTCGCATCCCAGCCCTTTGGTGTCCTGCACCCTAGGATGAAAGGCTTAGGACTGGACACTGGCAGGGGCTGGAAGCTCAGACTGAGTATCAGCTCGGACTGTTTCCAGACAGTTTAGCACAGATCTGAGGGCTGGTCAGCTAGGCTTCATCCCTGCGGCTTAAACCCCTTCCCTGCCCTCACATCAGCAGTGTCCCATGCTCCAGTGTACCCTGAGCATCCGGCAGTGCCATCACATTGCTGCTAGAGCTTGTAGCTCAGGACACACTGTGCTGATGCCGATGCTGGCCACGTTGTGGAGTGCACACCCATGCTTCACCGGCAAATCTGGGAATGTTACAGAGCACAAGGATGAGGGAATCGCTGCCTTTTGGACCACAGGCTTTTCTGTCGTCTTGTGGCCACACTGTAAGAGCCTCGTATTTAGGCTCAGTGGAAGTGTTGTGACACACAGGCAAAGGTGTCCAACGGTGGAGAGAGCAAATGGGAACATATGCCATCCTGGCTTGGTGGGATGGAGAAGCCAAGGAAGCTGGTAGATGATGCCATACCAGGAGCTTGTCGGCAAACAATTTCAGCTGCCAACTCCCTGTGCTGGGGATGCAACTCTACCACCAGGGTAGCTCCTCAGAGCACTGCCCAAGCACCAAAGGACCCCTCCTACCCTCCGCAGCCTTCAGGCTGGTGAGCAGAGCAGAACCAGCATCCATCCTGGTTCTGGAGCCAGGAGGCTCCATCCTCATGGGAGCCTTCAGCCACGCTGTGCAGATGCCCCGCGCTTCTCTGGGCAGGAGGAGACGTTACCCTGTGGCTGGCACGAGCGCTGGCCGGTTGGATGCCCAGGCACCGTGCCTTGCCCTTGCTGCCTGCTGGCACTGACCACCAGCCGCTGCTCCGCCAGCAGCAGCCCCATTGCTTTTTCAGCCCGTTTGTGCTGCTGATGGTGCAGCGCAGCGCACGTACCATGGCATGACCCTTGGGACRTGGCTGTGGCATCCCTGCTCTCATTCCTGCCCACACTGAGGCAGCTGTTCTGCTCTGAGCTGGAGCCGAGCTCAAGGACTTCAGGCTGTGCCTGTGGTGGCAACCAGCCTGGATTGCTACTTGGAGCCAAACCCAGGCATTGTCCCTGGCGCCGCGAGGTTCAGCCTCCCATGCTGGACAGAAGAAGCCAGTCATTATACGGTAGTGCTCCTCTCCGCATGGCCACCCTAGTGACACTGCCCATCACAGGCAAAGACACAGAACGAGCTCGCCTACAGCTGGGGTGCCAGAACCCCYCTTCGGTCCCCCTGACAGTGAAGCCTTCATTTGTGCCAGACACAAAAACAACTTCAGAAGTTTTCTCCACCCAGCAGCTGGAACCAGGCCTGGAAACTCAGGGGCTGCCGAGTCATCGCATTTTCCGTGAAGCAGCAAAGGCTTCACCACGTGGAGCAGGGGGATGGGGGAGTGCCTGGCAAACTGGGCGTTTGAAAGCGGTGCTGGGCTGAGCTGGTACAGCAGAACCTGGCAAGCCACGTCCTGGTCTCCTGTAAGGGAGGGAGCCCCAGGCTGGGAGATTATCCCTGTGCCAGGAACTAGGCTACATCCAGTCTGGAGCGGAGGTGAGAAAGGGAGAGCTCTGATCGCAGCCCATCGCTGTGATGTCTTGCTTGCATTGTGGGACAGGTACAAATCAGCAGTACAGACCCTGTCTGACATCACTCCAGGTAATCCCACTGGGAAGTGCTAAACTTAGGGCAAAACAGAGTCACCCTCAGGTTTGTGTTGGCACTCCATATACCAGCCTGTATGTGAAGTGCCTTGGGCATGGAGCTGGTGGCAYGGGGCTTGTCCCTGCTGGGGCATCTCCGAGACTTGAGCATTACTCRTCATGCTTGGAGGAAATAAGGAACCTGTGCTGGAAGCACCAGCTTGGGTAAAGGGAGGAGATGAGCATGCAGCTGGGCAGCTCTGCTGGTGCCTAAGATACKGGGGAGTCTTCGAGGGGTATCCCCGAGTGCCAGAGTCTGCCCCGGGCTGCATGTGGTGCCAGGCAGCAGGCGATGCTCTTGAAGCAAGTGCAGGGCCTGGGAGGGCCCAAGGAAACCCTTATAGCCTCAGGAGGAATGCCTGTCACACAGAGAGGGTGAGGTGACGCGAGGTGACAGCCTTGACCAGGCCCTGCACCAGTAGTGACACCAGGAAAACGCAGGGGACCTTGTGCCTGAATGCGGGAGTACAACCCTCCTGTCMTCCTGCATGAGCACCGCCACTGCTCCCCGGGCAGGCCCTGATGCTCTGCCAGGAGCTTGTGTCACTGAAAGCCCAGCAATTCGAAAAGATAGAGGACTCGCTCTGCGGACTGGGCTGAAAGCACTTGCTCGGGCTCCTGTCCTGCCTTTTCCCAGAAACAAAGTCCTTATGATGCCCATCCCTTCCTTTTGCC